AGGATTTTCACAAGCAATTGGATAGGATGATGTGTTCTCTGGGTACCAGCCAGCCTCTTTTCCCAGTCACTCCTGCTGTTGCCCAATGAGTTCATGAGCAAATTGGCTATGGTAGCAGGCATGAAGGTTATGCATGGGACCAGCAACATAGACTTCTAGTCACCAAGGCCAACCAGGCTACAGCTACTGCTGAGTGCCCAATTTGCCAGCAACAGAGACCAAAACTGAGTCCCCAATACAGCACCACTCTCCAGTGGCAAGTTTATTACTTTGGGCCACTTGTGTCATAGAAAGGGAAGCATTTTGTTCTGACTGGATTAGACCCTTGTTATAGATGTGCATATGCCTTCTGTGTACATAATACTTCTGCCACAACTATCATCCACAGTCTTACGGAAGGCATTATCCACTATCATTGTCTTCCACACAGCATTGTCTCTGATCAAAAAACTCACTTCACAGTGAATAAAGTGTAGCAATGGGCCCATGCTCACAGAATTCACTGATCTTACTATGTTCTTCGTTATCCTGAAACAGCTGACTTGACAGAAGGATGTAAAGGCCTTTTGGAGAATAAATTATAGTGCTAGCTAGGTGAGAATACTTTGCAGATTTGGTGCAATGTTCTCCAGGAGACTGTATATGCTCTAAATCAGTATCCAATGTATGGTGCTCTTTCTCCCATGGTGAGGATACACTTAGTCGGTTTGGGCTCTTCTTGCCTTTGAATCAACAGACAAAGAAGGGAGTTACTGTACTGGCTAGGAGTGATTCGTATTACCAAGGGAAAATTGTACTGCTACTACATAGTAGGTGTAAGAAAGACATATAGATAGATAGAGATAAAATATAGGAGATCCTTTAATGCATCTCATAGTACTACCATGTCCTGTGATTAAAGAACTACAACAACCTATTTCAAACAGGACTAACACTGGTCCAGATCCTTCAAGAATGAAGGTTTGTGTCACCCAACCAGGCAAAACCACAACCAGCTGAAATGCTTGTGAAGGGCAAAGGAAATAAAGAATGAATAGTGAGAAAAGGTAATCAGTTGTGGAAATGTGGACTGTAGTTGAGTATTTCTTCCTTATTTTGTTAAGACTCTGTTCGTGTGTATGTTGTTGTTAGGTACTGGAGACTCCATTTCAACTTATAGCAATACCATGTGACAGAGTAGAACTGTCCCATAGGATTTTCTAGACTGTAACTTTTACTAAAGCAGATCACCACCTCTTTCTTCCATG